ACAAAGATAACTCTGACTCATATAATATCAGATGCCAAGTATCTAACAGGATATCAAAAAGGAATTCAGAGGAAGCAGTAATGGCAGAGGAGTGACACTGTTAATGAGAACTCAGCGGAGTTTTAAAGAGGTACGAGAAATGCACATGAGAACTTAGCGGAGTTTTAAAGAGGTGCGAGAAATGCACATGAGAACTTAGCGGAGTTTAAAAGAAGTACGAGAAATGCACCAACAATGAGAACTCAGCGGAGTTTTAAAGAGGTACGAGAAATGCACAAACAAGAGACATGATTTCACAACGGCTCAGTTAAAGACTGGGGAACGTAAAGCAGTAGTTACAGTGATATACCATCTGCGGCCTAATAATACGAGAGCGAAGCAAGAATATTAAGACAGCAATATTACGATGGTTGACACAGGACTACAGCAATGCTCACGGGTGAGCGTTGCTGTAGTCCTGTGTCCTTAACATGTCCTTAACATGCTGATTCAGCATGTTAAGGACACGACAAGAGAGAGAGATGATGAGCCAGCAAGACTGGACCTAGTATTTCCTGCAGGTACATCTGACAGGCAGTAGCCGACCTACATTTTTGGGGGCCCTGAAGCTTGAACTGTTATGGGGGCCCCTTCTCATAGAGTAGACCCAAAATTTTTAAGCAATGTGGACTAAAGTCGCTTCTGGGGCCCTTCCGGGATTAGGGGCCCTGAAGGTTAAGCTTCATTAGTTTCACAGTAGATCCGCCCTTGGTCATAGGTGGAGTAGAATATGAAAGCCCCCTGGGGGGCTAGTGATCATTCAGTTGTAAACTTTGAGTACCTAGTAGAACTGAAAGTCGAGAAAAGAATGGAAGGTGGAAAGAGCAAAAAAAAAAAAAAAAAAAAAAAAAAAAAAAAAAAACAGAATTTAGAAGAGGGGACGAGAGAATTCCCGAATGAAATGCAGTGGTATACAGGACTGGAAAGTCAGCTAATGAGACGATGGAGTACCCAGCTATAAAATACCCGGTGGTCGAGCAGAACTTCAAATTCAGATATAAAATCAACAAAGATAAAGACAGCTCTTGGTTCAACCAGAAATACAGATAAAAAAAAATAGTGTGGCGAGGTACAGAATACGAAGGATAGATGAGAAGAAAGACGTGAGTAGATTACTTATTCAACTATTCCAATCTCTCGTGCATTAAGACACAAGGGACTGACGTTATGGAATGTAGGAATACCTTTCTTAGGTCACGCAGTAAACAAAACATATTCAGCTACAAAAGCATGTATGATAAGTACCACGTAGATAACAGAGGTGACTCTGGCAAGCTGTGAGTTGAGAGGCGAGCCCAGGAGTTGAAACTACCTCTGCACACACAATAGTCGGGTGTACCACCATTTTGCCCCGCCTCTGCCAGCTGTCTTCGTTAGCATAGGTAGGTACAGCATTGTAAAAAAAATGGTATTATGAATGCAGTAAAAAATATATAGAGAGTAATGAATGTAAGTTACTAAGGAATCTCTGAGTGCGGACCGAGACGCCTCACTCATGACAAACACAAGTGTGACTTTTCATCTGACCAATAATAATAATAATAATGTGTTTTTAATAAGATAAAGTTGTTAGAAAGACTGGTATATATATTAGTTATTTTATGCAAGCATTTAGAGCAAGAGCAACAAGAACAATCCTGGCCCAGGGCTGCTCTCAGGCATGAGAAAAACGCAGAACTCATCAAAGGTTTATCTAAGGTAAATGTATAGCAACAATAACAACAACAACAGGAATACTGTGATGTGAGATACGGTGACTTAAATTTTGTGACTTTATTCTGACAGTTGTGCACATTATTATTATTATTATTATTATTATTATTATTATTATTATTATTATTATTATTATTATTATTATTATTATTATTATTATTATTATTATTATTTATTTTATTATTTTTGTATTATTACTTTTATTATTAATTTTATTATATTATTACTGTTATTACTATTATTATTTTCTTATTCTTATTGGGAAGCACTAAACCCGTACGAACCTACGGGGGCTGGGATTGGGAGGGTTATCAGGCTTAATCTGAGGGAAGGGAGGGTCGTTCCAGCTCCCTGGATCAAGAGTCTCTCACCAGCACCCGCCTGAATGCTCCTCTCATGATTGTGACTCAAGTGGTAGCGCCTTTGTCTCATAACCGCAGTACCCCGGGTTCAACCCCGGGGCGGGTGGGAACGTTGGACATGTTATTTTTTTTATGTTGGTCCATAAAATTATTTTTGGGTTATTCACTCTAATAATTAATCGTCAATTTATATTTAGCTCCTGATCAACCAGGATGATGTACTCACCTATTTGTGTTTGCAGGGGTCGATTCATAGCTCCTGGCCCCGTCTATACCTTGGACTGCAGGCGGTATGCACCAACAGCCTGGTTGATCAGACCAGCAACCAGGAGAACTGGTCTTGGACCGGTCCCCGGGGGGGCTGGGTCCCCCGGAAGCGACTACAGGTAACCTACACTTAGTAAATCCCTGTCAAAGTACGTCTAGCAATTTATTCTTAAAATAGCCCTGTTAATTAATTGAAAATTACCTATATTAAATGACTAGGATGTCTACTTTTATAAAATACTAACTCAAAAAAAAAAATCTGGTTTAAGAGAAAGTTTTAGCTGGGTATCCTCTGTGAACTTGGCCAGAATGTTGGCTCATTGTCTTTATATGTTGTATGTAGCGAGGCTGGCTGAAGTACACTTATTTGTATAAGAGAAATTATTTAAAATACTATACAAAGAAAGTTTATCCTTGAAACTCATTAAAACCTCGTGAATGATATGGAAATAATGGTAGTCATGAGAAGATAATACTGTATTACAACCGATCACATCCACTATTCCCGCAAATTATAAAAACACAAATGGAAATTCATACTTAAAATTTTCGAGAAAAAGTTTGTTAACATTTGTTTCACCAGTGCAACAGAAGATTTACTAGGACCTCAATGGAAATAAGTCACTTTGTCTGACTGTTTTGGATTATCCTAGGTTCTCTACACATATCCTGCTAATATATGTAACTATTTGTGTATACCTGAATAAACTTAGTATAACACACCTTACTAGGACACAATCTCCATCTTTAAGTATATTCCAAGTTAATGGGAAATGACAGACTTGAAAAGAATTTTCCATTGTGTTGGAAGTGATGGTGCAAGTCTGCCGCATGAGTCTACTTATCTCTTATATTTATCATTGATTTTTGACTTATTACTCGATGTACTGACATTAATCTGTGATTCCTATTGTTATTATTTACAGGAAAAGCTTTAAACCCGTTAATATCACACAGTATCTGGGAAATATGAGATAGCCAGCTTCGATCAGAGGGGGAGGACAGCTCCAGTTCCTTGGATTAAGAGCCCTAACACAACAATTAAAACACTCACCCTTAAAGGTCTATATTAATAACGTAATAAGCTTCATTTCGTAGTAACCGTTTTATTTAGTGAGAAGTGAATGTGCAGGTAGGAAGTATATCTATCAGGAAGGAATGTAAAGTTATCGTTCATGTTGCAGTAAAGTCGGCACTAGTGCCACTCTAACCACTTTATTTCTCAAACATAATTAAGCTTTATAATACACATGTCCACTACCCGTGTCAAAACGTCATTAACTGGTGCAAAACTGTGGTGAATCTCTAGTGTAGATATGATAAGTTGTGGAAGTGGTGAATGAAAGTCAGGGTTATCACGTGGAACCTGTTACAAGCTTCTTAGAAATAAATGAACCAATTTCAGCACGGGGAACTGAACTAAGCAGGCGACCACCTCCATACTGCACTCCTTAGCCACTACGCAAATTGATCTGAGTCTCATTATAGCTAGAAGATCCCTTTATAGCCTTTAATTCTTATTGATTAGAGTTATAGTGTAGTAATTTAGAGAAGTGCCAAAGTTATCAAAGAAAACGTTGTTGTGACGTCACGGATGGTGCGCATGCGCGCCGCCACACATGGTCACGTGACCCTAGAGCTTTTGTGAGCGCATTTTCCTAGGTAAATATGAACCCTGTGGATTTAATGTGCATTTGTTATCTATCTAGCAATTTACTGTATTTCCATATGTGATAAACAACATCGGAAATGGTTCACGAGGACTATTAGTGGAAGGATAGCCGCGTGAGTGTCTTAGTTTACGTAAAAACAGACATTAAAACCGGTGTTGTGCAGACATAGGATGTGCTGGTGCAAATGGCGTCAACCTCGCATGTGTTATTGAACATTGGCTGTGTCGACTGGCCATGGTGATGATTCCTGAGGGGTCAGCTTGCCACCAGAGGTGGACCCTTACTTGCTGCTTCCTTATCCTTCTTCGGTGAGGCGTGGAATGTATAATTGAGCAAATTATAGAGGCTTGCGGGAGGGTCCTTGATGCCTGCGTCTCCATTGTTTACACTTTGCTTTGCTGTGTCTACATGTGTGGTGACCACCTCTGGCACCTCTAATTACTGCTCTTCTACACACATTTCCACTGCAAAACCATAACCAGTGCCTAAAATGAAGATTGCAGGTGATAGACACCAAGGAACAGCGGTACGAGTGTGAATATCCTGATGAGCAACAAGTTAGATAAATCCCCCATGATTATACGTTTCTTTTATTAACTAATTTCTAGGTTTCAATACAGAAGTGAATAAAAGCAGAGAATAATGGTGGAAATGTAATGGCCCTACCGAGCATAAAGTTCCATGGATGTTTTAATATGTATAATTTTTATACACAAGAAATCAGAAAGATATAAAATTGAGGAACAATTTTGTAAATGTGATATCCCAACCTTAGCAGTTAGATGTAGAAAAGATTCAAGTCCTTGAGAATATAGTTATTTTATGTTTACGTGATAAGTTGGTAAGCCCAAAATAAAACTATTTATTCTTCATGTATGTTGAAGGAATAATCTTTGTAAAATATTTATTAGAGGATTTTAAACAGTTGCTGACAAGTAGATGTACTATTGATTATTCCTTGGTGTCTACTAAAGCAAGTTCACTCCACAGAAAATATATACAAGGGTTTAAAAAGTGTAAAGAATTAAAAGAAAAATGAAGCCTGGATATCTAAAAATTATTTAATTTTGAGGCTGCTGATGTGACTTGGGATATGTTTCAACTTTATATGTCTTCGATAAGGCATCAGTTAGGTCATGCTACTCAGTTGTTGTCTGTATTACAGAATGGGCATAATTGCCGTGGAAAATATACATGGGAGGATGAAGTTGATCCCGTATATCAATTCTTTCCTATAAAGATAGGCTGAAAGCACCGAATTTGCACTCGCTGAAAAGGAGGAGTTAGGGGACACGTGGTATATTATACATACAGTTGAGCTGATTTAAGATCCTTCTCTTTAAAGCTTAGCAATAGGTTATTATGTAAATTTTTTATTATCGAGTTTGGTTCCTCCCCCCCTTCCCCCCCCCAAAAAAAAAAAAAATCTTTAGGCCCAAGGTTGAATTCTCATTGTGGATGCTTGTGGTTCACTTAATAGTGTCCTCAGCTTACTTGCGGAGGGACTGGGCATCAGTACTGGCATAGGTGAAATGGGAATGTTTCCTTACACTTGCTGCCCCTGTTCATGCAGCAGTAAGTTGGTACTTGGATGTTAGTTGTTATAGGTTGCATTCTGGGGGAGAATATTATAGGACCACAGTGAACTTAAGAGTAACAGTCCCTGAGGACTCGTGGATTTTATTGAGTTACCCTGAGTAGCTAACCCTCCAGGTTAAAAATAAAAAAAAAATTATGTACAACTTCCTAATGCACATCCCATTTAATGCTGGAGAATTTACATAATTAAAAACACAAGGACCCTGTCTATATAATTGAGATGTGCTAGACATGTACAAATGGGGAAACTAATAAATTAAGGGGGTATAAATAGCATGCTGATATAATGGAGGACGTTGACATAAGATTGGAAATATGAGACAAAATTTGCTGGATCAATTGATTAAAAAGTAAAAGTCCAGCAATTGCAGAATTCTTATTTTTTGATTTACAACAAAACAATCTCTTCTCTATACACCCCAATTGCCATTCCTGGCCACCTGTTTCTCCCCTATTAGTCCTTTGTATCAAGGATTTACTAATACATGTATCTATAAATGAGGCAGGACTTCCTACAGTAGATTCAAGACGAAAATGTTTAGAATTAAGAAGGATATAGAGGATTACTGATTTGGCAATAAATGTAGATGAGTGGAACAAACTCCCAGATGGTGACATTTTTTCGAGACCTTTGGGTTGCTTTAAATGGGGGTTTTATGGATACATGAATGGATGTGGGGGAGGGGGTGGGGTGAGCTGAACCTGCCAAGCATGGGCCAGCATGCATACTGCAGTGTTCAGAGTTCTTGTGTTTTTTATGCCAGTGAGTTATCAAAGCAGCAAGCTTGGTGATGTAAAGTATGACAAGTTATCCAACATTGTAAATGCATTTCTGGTAATCATTCACAAGCCTACCCCTTTTCACTCATAAGAACATTATCGTAAGGATAGAGTATTGGTTATATTTACAAGAGTGCTTGCCAGCAGTGTGTACAGGAGAGTTCTCCACTAGTAGAAAACATTTGAGACATCTGACTAATCGGTGACCTGGGAACATTTGAGATCACTGGTATTCCACTCATGGTGAAATGTTTCGAGTAAAATAATGAACCACTTATAGGATACAAGACAACAAATTTACTAACACTGGCTTTTCAGTAAGGCATTTGTGGCTAAGAGCTGTTACCTACATCAGCTCACTTGAAGGCATTTTTCTTTTTCTCTCTCTTTTTCAGTAAGGCTTTGATATTTTCATACAGAAGACTGTTAAAGAAAGTGGCAGCATAATATTGAAAATAAAGTATTACAGTTTTTACCTAAGAAAATTTGTTGCATTTTTCAGTACAGTATGAGCCTACAGTGGTCCCTTGAGTTATGATAATTTTGAGTTCAGAGAAATTTAGCTTCAAGTTGTGATGAAAATTTTGAGCACAGTATGCATATGATGGTATGACTGTTATTTACTTTTCAGTTTGAAACTATCATGGGTGTTTCCCTGTAATAAATCTGGATTATTTACACCCCCCCTTTCCTCTTTTTCTCTCACTTTTTCTATTTTTCTTTATCTTTCCCCTCTCTCTCTCTCTCTCTTTTTTTTTTACACAGGGTTTGACAAGGTTAGGTTAAGGATCCCTAGCTTTATTGACAAGCTATTTACAGGTTAAGGATTCCTAACTTTATTGGCAAGCTAAGAGCCGTTACCTACATCAGCTCATTTGAAAGCATTTTTATTGTTGTGAAACATACAAGTAGGGAACACGATGAAGTTGGAGCCATCTGTGGGCCAGCATTTTCATCTGATCAGCTGACTTTATCTCATTGACATCATAATGCTGTACAAATGTGTTCCAGACTTGAGTCATCCTGGGAATAAATGATCTCAGATGAAGTGATGTTCTGGAGAAAGG